TATTTAAAATAAGGTTTATTACCATTTCAAACATCAAGGCCACAGGTCCTGTAAGCATTAAAGGAGAAACCCATTAAAATAATCATGTCACAATGAAGAGAATACATTGATTAAAAAAAAAAACAAACCCAATATTAGTAGAGTTTGTGTTAGCTCACGGAATAGCTTAAACTAAGTTGGCCCTTAAGGATTAATGCTGGTAATAAAGATGTTTGATTGTTAACTTCACATTAGAGCTGCTCTGTTCTGTCACATTACACAGTATTAGCTGCACAAATCAGGGATGGAGCTGTTTACTCTTCAATTATTGGCATGATCCCTTTAGGACGTGACAATTTCTCCGGTAGGTAATGGTAGAAAATGACAACAATAGTGTCTAAATTTAATCATGAAATAATTACACTGAACAAAACAACAACAACAAGCAGCTCGTGTGAGCCGTCAGAGCAGCATTCATTAAACCACCTAAGCTAAATCTGTGCTTCTCTGATGGTCAACACACGGCAGTTAGAGAATGGCCTGTTCACACACACACACCGCATGATGAATCCCATAATACTCCCCAACTCCCCTGATGCCTGTGTCATTACAGCTCATGTAAGACAGCAGTTTCTTTCAGGGTCTGTTGAATCTGGAGTCGTGTGAATAATTCCACCATTAAATACAATATAACGACTGCTAATTAATAAACAAACAGAGCTTAGGACACGTTGGTTTTCTATAGCTCACTGTAATATTCTGAAACTACAACGACAACACATTATACTGAAAGTCTCGAATGGAAGCTGGTGATCTGGATTAATCTGGGTCAAAATTACAGTCATCCTCGTTTCACAATGAAGGATTGTAACAATATTTCTTCAAAGTTAAATGAAAATGATTCCTTCATTAATGTGTGTGTGCTGTTGAATTTTAATGTAGTGGGTTTGATTCTAATCAACCCTGGCTCATTACATTTTACACCAAAAGAACCCAAACGCATTAACATTAGATAAGAAAATGACCAAAGAATCCAACTCATTCATGCCCTGGTCTGGAGTTGATGATGAACCAGAGCAGATGAAACAGGATCTTGGACACGGTCCTGTTCAGCAGACTGTAGAACTGCAGGTTTACTTGGAGAAAAGCTGAAAAGGAAGGACAGGAAGTGGCCGGGGTGTTAGACAGAGGAGGAGTTAACAAGACACAGGTGGTGGAGATTAGGTGATCACTGTGGAGGGAGACAGCAGAGCAGGTCAGGTGTGTGGAGTTGGTGTGGACGCAGGAAGGCAACGAGTGAAGCACCGAGGAGAGACACGGAAGGGTGTGCCAAAAAAAAACAAACAAAAAAAAAAACTCAACTATACTAAAACAATGAATAAAACTGAGGGAATATGTATGTATAAGTATGTGTAAAAAATCTTTTGTAATTTTTTTATCAGTATTCTCTCCAGCTTCACACAGTGTCTTGGTTTGTGAATGCAACGCAAGATACAAACACATTAAAAAAAGTCTAAAAACAATTTTAAAAAATACCTTGAGTCACTTGTCGGTTCAAGGTAAAACGCCCTCTCTCTCCCTCTCTCTCTCTCTCCACTAATGTATAAAATTAGATTTTCCAAAACAGATTAAAAAAAAACCATAACCCTAAACCACCCTCCTTCCTCAGTTCCATTTCAGTGGTAGTAAGATTGATCTTTCCTTCTTTAATCAGATTCAGCTCAAATGGGAGAAGAAATATTATTTAAATAATGTTTGTAGCAGTAGTTATTTTTCCAAGTGGAGGAAACTGCATTTGTGTGGAGAAGCTTCTGAGCTCAATCTCATTGTTACTGTGGAAAAACATAGTAATTTATATTCCTTGTTGGCAAAAAAATAATGCTGTCTGCAGTTTGACGTCTGTGAAGTGAATACTGAGAAAAACTCCTTGGACTT